ACTGGGAGCACTGGGGGGTCACTGGGAGCACTGGGGTGGGTTCCCAGTCCATACTGGGAGCACTGGGGGGTCACTGGGAGCACTGGGGTGGGTTCCCAGTCCATACTGGGAGCACTGGGGGGTCACTGGGAGCACTGGGGTGGGTTCCCAGTCCATACTGGGAGCACTGGGGGGTCACTGGGAGCACTGGGGTGGGTTCCCAGTCCATACTGGGAGCACTGGGGGGTCACTGGGAGCACTGGGGTGGGTTCCCAGTCCATACTGGGAGCACTGGGAGCACTGGGGGGGTCACTGGTCCTGCCCCTCCCCCAATGACCCGCGGCTGCAGCTCCGGAGCTTTATTGGGGACGGGGGGAGGGGACAGGGGAGGGTGACACAGGTGACACTGACACAGGTGACACTGACACAGGTGACACTGACACAGGTGAGGGTGACACAGGTGAGGGTGACACAGGTGACAATGACACAGGTGACAATGACACAGGTGACACTGACACAGGTGACACTGACACAGGTGACAATGACACAGGTGACACTGACACAGGTGAGGGTGACACAGGTGAGGGTGACACAGGTGACAATGACACAGGTGACAATGACTAGCAGGTACAATGACAAACGAGGCTGACACTGACCACAGGTGATCAACTGACACAGAGTGAACACTGACACATGGTGACAATGACAAAGGTTGACAATCGACACAGGTGGACACTGACATCAGGTGACACTGACACAGGTGAGGTTGACCCGGGAAAACTGACACAGGTGACACTGACACAGGTGAGGGTGACACAGGTGACACTGACACAGGTGACAATGACACAGGTGAGGGTGACACAGGTGACACTGACACAGGTGACAATGACAGGTGACACAATCACAGGTGACAATGACACAGGTGAGGGTGACACAGGTCACAATGACACAATGACAGGTGACAGGTGAGGGTGACACAGGTGATGGCAATGACAGGGGACAGGTTTTGGTGACACAGGTGACACTGACACAGGTGACACAGGTAATGACAGGTGGGGGTGACACAGGTGACAGGTAATGACACAGGTGAGGGTGACACCGGCATGGGTGACAGAGGTGACACTGACACAGGTAATGACAGTGACAGGTGACAGGTGAAGGTGACACCAGTGACGACACAGGTGACAGGTGTGGGTGACACAGGTGTGGGTGACACCGGTGACACTGACACAGGTGACACCGGTGATGACACAGTGACAGGTGTGGGTGACACAGGTGACACTGACACAGGTGACACCGGTGATGACACAGTGACAGGTGTGGGTGACACCGGTGACACTGACACAGGTGACACCGGTGATGACACAGTGACAGGTGAAGGTGACACTGGTGACAGGTGACACAGGTGACACAGGTGTGGGTGACACAGGTGATGGCGGTGACAGGTGACACAAGTGATGACGCAGTGACAGATGAAGGTGACACCGGTGTGGGTGACACACGTGATGGGTGCCAGGTGACACAGGTGCCAGGTGAAGGTGTCTCAGGTGGGCACCACGGGGGGCACAGGTGACACAGGTGTGTCCCAGGTGCCCCCAGGTGTGTGCAGGTGCCCCTCAGGTGGGCAGGGCGGGTGTCTCAGGTGGGCACAGCAGTGGGCACAGGTGTGTCCCAGGTGCCCCCAGGTGCCCCTCAGGTGGGCAGGGTGG